ACACACACACACACACACACACACACACACACACACACACACACACAACAGTAAAAGTAAAATAGTTAGAGATTCAATAACTAGGTAGAAGGCAGTATGCATAGCCATCTGTCAGTGTCTTCTTTGATACCATCGCTTGGTGGTGCTACAGTGACAAATGATAATCAAGGGCCATGAAGCGAGTAGCAGACATAACACACTATTAAAGCAACACTGGTTTATTTAAACAGCACATTTCAAACACAGATGTAGCACTATGTGAACGTTTTTAAAATAGTATAAAATAAACAGATACAATTTTTTTTTTTTTTAAATGAAACAATAATAACAATAATAATAAAGACAGATAAAAATAGCTAAATAAAAGTGCAAGATGTGAAAGATAAAAGATATACCAGTACAACAGCAATACCACAGGCAATGAATAAATAAATGCAGCCACACCGAATGAGGCCACACTCGTCCAACATTTGAAAAAGGAAACACGAGCTGCTAATGGCAGCTGGTCCCCATAAAGAAGGTGATGACAGTCCAATAAAATGTCAAGCAGTGCACATGCCTAAGATTGTTAGCTTAATTATAATTCATTAATGTTGCCAATGATACCGAAGCAGACAATATTTGTATCATGTTATATTATTAAGCAAAGGAAAGGACGAGTGATTGGTTTTATTAAGGAACACATGATTTTGATCACGTCTTGTCTTGATAAAAATGCATGAAAAGTTCCCTCCAGACACAAAGCAAAGTGGGTTCACCTGATCCCCCCCCAAAAGATATTTTTTACAACCAATCAAAGGCTCTGCAGTCACCAAGAACCACACAATCACTATCTGCAGAATTACATGAAACACGGATGATTTATAGGTGTGACATATGAAGTGGTGAAAGGACACAACCTGCCGATAAATACCTTAATAATATTATTATTTTTTATTATAATTGCTATCGTTAAGTCTGATTTTTAACAGTGTATTGGGTTTTTATGCTATGGTTTAAGTATCTATACATATTCTTTTTCCTATTTAATTTTCACTCTAATTCAACTTACGTGTTTTTGTCTTGTCAATAATTTTTAAAGCACGTTGAATTGAATTTGTTTGAAAGGTGCTATATAGATAAATCTTGATTGATTTATTGACAATAATGCAGTTATTTGGGCGATGAATAAATCTTGTAACTTCTAAACTGACTACGGCTCTCACATCAAAGATAATTCAGTAAACAATACATATATATATATACATATATACATATATACACATATATATACACATATATATATATATATATATATACACATATATATACACATATATATACATATATATATATATACACACATATATATATACACATATA